TTCCTCCGGGGTAGATGTGTCACCGGTAGGAAGTATTGGGATACTGCAACTGTCTGTCGGTGGCCTCAGGAGATAGACGAGTTTTTCCCAGTAGCAAAAGAGATCTTCTCGTGCGTCAGAAGAGGGACACAGCTGCAGGTAAAAAGTTCTGCCTGTGGCAAGCTTCAGGCGCAGCTGCTGTTTCTCACGGTCGTGAATGGAGATCTTGACAAACTTCAAAGGAAGCAGTCTGGTGAGCTCTAAAGTCTTCGAAGGCTTTCGACCTCTCCCCTTGATGAACCGGGCCCGTCTGGCATGTTCTTCACAGACTTTAGCTGGTCGGGCCAGCAGCATGACATCAGGTAGTGGGAGGACCGGGCTGGTGGATGCGATGCACACAGTCACCATTCGGACGCGGTTGTGAACATCAATCACCTCTCCTTTTTTGCTAATTTGGATAAAGTCGCTCTCAAACATTGGTGCATACTTGAAAATATCATACTCTCCTCCCTTGTACAGTTGTCGCTGTAGGTTTCCCATGGAGGTGTTGAACACGCCCATGGATCGGTAGCTGTGGGGAGTGTAGTAAGGTAACAAACATTCACTGCTCATGGTTCTCTTCATTCCAGGCATCACTGCCAGCCACAAATCGTGTCCCCAAGAGAGGGAGGGAGTGAAGGCAATTGCCCATCTCCCAGCAAGGTTTCTGACCACATGTCCTCATGCCTCCACAGTTATCCTCTGCTGTCCTTTGTGACCTGTCACCAGCACACACCCCTTTGTCCTGGCCTCCAAGCAGTCACCCCCCTCAAAGCTGAATCAGCAGCCTCCTCTGACCTTAGTCACACCACCACCTTCACGGGGGACAGGCTGCACCATGCCAGAGTGTACATATGGGTGTGCAGGACATTTTTAAAATTGGACTGTCAGATGCTTGAGTTATAAGCCATTCTGCTTTTGTCAACATCTAGGTTGTGTATCTGCAGTTCTGTTGTTGGTCTCATAATACTCTTTTAAGGGCCTTCTTCCTGCAAATACATGTTTCCTTCAACTGAATGACTTCCTGGGATACAATCCTAGTGGTGGAATGTAGTTTGCTAATGACAGGACCCCCATATGGATTCTGATTCACTAAGGTGTCTGTGTGTAACAGCACAATCCTGGCAGGCTCTCAGAGGTTGTTAAAGGAATGGTCCCCAACTGCTCCTGTGACCTGGCAGGACCATAGTTTTATCAATACAGCTTTCTTGGCCATGTTCTCAAAGCTGGAAGTTACAGCGAGGAAACCATGGCTGCAGATTATCTTGCATGGGGTCAGAGTTCAGGGCTGGATTCTAAGCCAGTCTTGTAACTGCTGTGAGAGCTTTCTCTGACAGGCTAGGAACCTGTCAGACTCCTGCTCTCCACACACAGCAAGGCTAGTGGTCAGCAGTGTGTGGGGTTGGGTGTCACTGGGAACTGCAGGGATTCACAGGTACTCAATCACAGGAGGATTTCCCGAAATGGTGTGCCTGCCTGATAAACCACTCATGTTTGGGTTCTCTGAATGGTTTTTCAGAGAAACTGTAGCAAACGTGTGTTTCTGGAGTTTTTTCTTTACTTGGCAGAAGGTGATGAAGCTAAAATTCCCCTCCTCCAGTTAGAAAAGTACTTCTGAAATAAACCCACCCCACCCCCTACACCCCATGATTGCTGTGTAGAGATCTTGAAATAAACTCAAGCCACAGAAAAATTTTTGTTCTGTCTTCACGTTGTCCTCAGTGTGGAGTACACCATAGCTTTTCAGTGAATATGGACCCGTGTCTACTGAGGCTCACTCTCTCATGCATTTATGTAGCAAAAAAAATTTTTTTTGAATAAACAAGCATTTTGTTCATTACCAAAAAGGGAGGGCATTGAAAAAAGTAAAGTTCTTTACCACAGAAGAACTAAAATATTTTTTCAAAAGATATTGAGTTACTTCTCCAAAAAGAGTAGCACAGTAGTCTGTAAGGGGATAATGATTAAAAGTCAATGATACTAGATTTTATTGACTAAGAAATACTTTCTCTCTCCCTCCTTACCTTTTCCTTTCTCCCACTTGGCCCTGTCCCCATATAATGTACAATGTATATTATACTATTACATATTATAAAATATGTGTTCTCATATGTCTGCCACAGATGTATTACTAAAATAAGGGCTTTGTCTAGCATGTATGAAACTCGTGAGTTGGATCTCCAGGACTGAGGATTTTTATTATTTCTTTAATTAAGACAGGGCTGGTCATATCCTTCAGTGGGTAAAGGCTTCTGTTGCTAAACCTGGTGACCTGAGTTTGGTCCCAGAAACCTGCATGGTGGAAGGAGAAAACCAACTCCCAAAAGTTGCCCTCTGACCTCCACACATTCATCATGATATACATACATACATACATGCATACATACATACACACACACACACACACACACACACCTAATAGGAGTAAACAATTTAAAAAAACTGAGACAAATAATGATCTTATTACTGAGAACTTGAACTTGCTGTAAGCCAAGCATGGTCCTAATTGGTTAAGAAAATACTTTTCTTCAAAATATCCCTATAAAATGTAGGTCTGACTATCATCCTTATTGTACAGGGGGCAGGGGAACCAAGGCTCAGAGAAGTCAGGCAACTTCACTAAGGTCACAATGGGATGAAAGAAATGCTAG